TTCTGGGAGTTGAAGTTCGCCCACCTTAAATCATGCTGGCTGGGGGGATTATGGGAGTTGAAGTCCAGCCGTTTTAAAGTTGCTACGTTTGAAAAACATAGAGCTAAATGGTGCTTTAAACAATGCCTGATAATGCCAACGATAAGCCAGCCAAATTTATTATGGTTGCAGAACTGCAAACCACGAAAAAGGGAGACCTTGCTAATCCATACGTGAACATGGCTTGGGGATCAAATCATGGCTAACATCTACAATCAGCCTTCTGGAGGCACATCTTGCAAGCTTTTTGCTTTGACATTTCCTGCTAGGCACGGCTTGCTAAATTTTAACTGGAACCTTTGCAAGAATCCAATATTCCTTCCAGCCTCCAAAAGACTTCTCCAGGAGTTATTTAGGCTCGCTCCTCACGGCCACCCCCCTGCTTAATTCATCAAGCCTCCCTCAATCAATGTCAGTTGCCTTAACTATCTTCGATCAGCATCAATCAAGCCGGCAGCAACCTTAAAAGTGAAATTCTACACTCAGCTCTTTTTTTCTTATAAAAGGTTCTTTGTTCACCTGCTTGTTGTTTTCGCAGCTAAGCGTCGCAATAACTCTCTAAGTCAGGGGCCTCTTACCTTGGCCACTTTAAGACCTGTGGACTTCCACTCCCAGAATTCCCCAGCCAGCCATGCTTTGAGATGGGAGGACTTCAATTCCCAGAATTGTGGCCCGCCAGTGGCCAGCGGAGCTGGCGGCAGACTCGGACAGTGAGGAGGTTGGGGAGGAACATGGGCCAGTCCTGGAGTCTGGGGAAGGCTCTGATGAGGGCTCTGTGTCGGAGGCAGAAATGGGGCCAGGGCCATCCAACAGTTATCAGCTGCCTTCGGAGTCGGAGATCAGTGGGGAAGAAGAACAGCTGGAGCCTGTTCCCAATGTGCTCATTCACAGAGCTGCCAGGAGAAGGGAACAGTTAAGGAACAAGGGCCGACTCGGGAGTAAAGCCACAGGTGGACAGTGAGTGGACCCTCCCACAGGGAATAAAGAGCGAAAGGGGAGTGGGGTTTGCAGGAGACAGTTCATTTAATTAGGGTGAAGATTTGTTTGTGGCTCTCAGAGACTCCTTGCCAAGTATTTTCTGGTACAGCCTTGCTCTCGGAAGCTATCGGCCTGGCAACTCTCCAAGCCTGATAACGTCTGTGATTGTAAATCACTCTTGCAGGGACTTTGCTAGATGTGAATGATAGAAATTCACATTAGCCTAATAAAAAGGGGTTTTGTTGGGATTTTGTGAGGCCTAGGTCAGAGCAAAGAGTTCCCCAGCCAGCCGGTCACAAATCACTTTTGTTCAGTGCCGTTGTAACTTCGAACGGTTGCTAAGTGAACTATTGTAAGCCGAGGACTATCAGCAGATGGGAAATTCTCTCATCCTTGACCCATGAGCCAGGAAAATGAGTCATTCTGGGGGGCCTTGGCATTAAGCCTGCACATTTCATCTTTTCTCTCCACTAAGAATACCCACTGTGGGCTGGCAATTTTGGAGCCAGCGGGCTAGCAGGAGGAAGGCCATTCAGGTGGATTAAAAAACTCAGAACCTCACGCCCTTCAAGATTGTAAAACACGAGAGCCCCTATTCAGGAATTCAATTTCATTTACATCTGAAAAGAACTCCGATGCGTTGCCGGAGAGTTGCTTTTGTCGTCACGGTTATAGCCGGTGCATATCGATCTCCCAAAGGAACGATGCAGAATGTCGAAAGCATGGAAGTAAAGGTGGAAGAAGCCCGTCCTGAATTTCTTCAGGTGAAGGTGAGTCCTTAGTTAGGGAGCGTCACGGCGATCACAGAATAAGAAGACTTGGAAGGGACCTTGGAGGTCATCTAGTCCGGCGGTCCTCAAACTTTGCAGTTAGGTAGCCCAGTTTGGTGGGGAGGAGAGGCGAAGCGGACTGGGTTCAGCCGGTTCGGGCCAGTTCTGGCATACCGGTGGCGGAAATTTTGAGTAGTTTGGAGAACTGGCAAATATCACCTCTGGCTGGCCCCACACACCCGCTCCTGCCCTTTCCTGTCCTGTATTCCCTTGGCTTTTTTAAGCTCGGCTGATTCACGCAGCAGGACGGATTGCTGCGCCTCAGCTGAGCTCAAAAATTAGCACCGCTCACCAGCATGGATACGGAGTGCAAGTCTTTGAGCCCTGCGCTCTCAGAACCAGTAGGAAAAGATTTGGAAACCCACCCCTGATGTGCATTCACGTGCAGCTGGACTGCAAGTTGAGCTGCATGCATACGCGTTTGTGCACCGGCCTGTCACTTGTGTGAGTCGAGCTGTGCATGTGTGCGCACTGGCCTGCTGCTTGTGCATCCCGGTGATGAATAAGCTATGGCCCAGTAGTAGGCCATGGACCAAGATTGGGGGACCTCTGTTCTAGTCCAAACCCTTGCTCAGGCAGGAAGATCCTATACAAATGGTTGTCCAAGACCTCCAGTGTTGGAGCACCCACAACTTCTGGTGGCAAGCAGTTCCGCTGGTTAATTCTTCTCACAGCCAGGAAATTCCTCCTTAATTCCAGATTGCTTCTCTCCTGGATGAGAAGTTTCCATCCGTTGCTTCTTGTCCTGCCTTCAGGGGCTTTGGAGAATAGATTGACCCCCTTCTTCTTTGGGGCAGCCCCTTTTGGAACCAAGGGACGTGGTGGCTCAGTGGCTAAGTTTGTCAATCAGAAAGGTCTGCAGTTCGGCAGTTCGAATCCCTAGAGCCGTGTAACGGAGTGAGCTCCCGTTCCTTGTCCCGGTTTCTGCCAACCTAGCAGTTTGGAAGCATGTAAAAAATGCAAGTAGAAAAATAGGGACCCCTTTGATGGGAAGGGAACAGCGCTCCGTGTACCTTCGGCCTTTACTCATGCCAGCCACATGACCATGGAGACGTCTTCGGACAGCGCTGGCTCTGGTCCGAGGGGAACCGCTACCTTTTGGAACCATGGCAATGGATGCCTTTTGCCCCCTTCATCTGGGTCCCTAATGCTTTTTCTGAAGACAGCTGCCACCATCCTCTTCCCTGGGTTTGTTAACATTCAGGTTAGTGTTAGCTTGTTGCAGCGCATTAAATTGCAGCTGTTTGGTCCTTAGCAGCAACTCAGCTCCTGCAAGTGTTCCAAATGTGGCAATTGGAAAGCTGGAAGGAAGAAAACAGAGCTGGACATCTGTCCTTTTATTGCCAGTATATTTCTGGACATGTTTGATGTCTTAAAAGGCCGAAGACTAGAAGTCTAATGGTGGTTTGGCTCTCCTTCGCAGGACCTTGGACAGAACTGGTTCATCTTGCTATTCGTATTTCATTGGTGGGGTCCTTGGTGCTCTCTAAGCTTGATTTGAAATGTCTGTTTTCTTACATTTCATGACCCAACTAGGTAACACAATCAGGGCTAGAAGGGAGTGGGGTTTGTGGAGTAGAGGAGGAGGAGAAGGACTGTGGGATCCCTGGTGCTCTCAACTTCAAGGTTTTTTTTTGCAGGCATTTCATGACCCAACTAGGTAACTCGATCAATGTGAGAAGGGAGTGAGGTTTGAGGAGTAGAGAAGGTGGACTTGTGGGGTCCTTGTGCTCTCTGAGCTTGCGTATTTTCTTGCAGACATTTCATGACCCTACTAGGTAACATCATCAGTGCTAGAAGGGAGTGAGGTTTACAGAGTGGAGGAGTGTGGGGGTCCCTGGTGGTCTCTGAGCTTGGTTGTTCTCTTTCAGACATTTCACAGCCCAACTGGGCAACATCCTCAGCCCTAAAAGGGAGGGCAAGCCACTCTATACCGGTATACAAACAGAGAGAAAATCCCTCCTAGCACTGATGATGTTCTCTAGTTGGGCCATGAAACGTCAGCAAGAAAACTTTTTTTTAGATGTTTTAGTAAGTCTTTTGCCTCAGGGGCCCTTTCTCTCTGGAAAGCACAGTTAATACATCATTTTATACATAAATACAGTCCCATCTGTAAATACCAGAAATGGGATCTGTGCCCTTTTTAATATAAAGTACATGTCTTCCATTATATTTCAGCTTTACTATGTCGAGTTTTATAAAGGTGAAACTCAAGGTGTAAAGGGTAAAATATAAATTTGGGTGGAAGGTTGTTTCTTACCGACACGGCGTGCATTCCTCATGAAGTCCTGTTCACAAAAAATGAACCAAAAAAAAGAGAGAAATGACTGCGTTCCATCTTTGGAATGTTTAAGGAACGAAATCATTTCACATGGATTGATTAAACATTTGGATACAAGTCTTCAATAACTCTTAACATTTCATTATCAAAATGTTACCATCTGTGAAACAGTCGACTAAGTATACAGTAATAACTTTAAAAAAAAAAAATTCTCATCTCCCTGAAATCTCATTTTGCCGGCCTTAATTCAGCAAGTTCATCAATAACCCTGTTTAATTAATCTTGGTTGGGTGTATTTCAGCCCAAATATTCCATCTTCCATTGCAATGACTCCCAAATCTATAATCTTGAGGCCATTAAGGAGCAAAACTCATCGATTCAGCAAGACACCCTTTCAGGAAATCCAAGTATGAAGGGAGAAATGCAAAATCGCAGTCAGCCGTCAACAAATAATACAAAGATTTTGCACTCGGATAAACCAAGTGTACATTTCCAGTAAGAGTAACAGAATAATAAGAGTTGGAAGGGGACTT